TTTCCCATAACTATGCTTCAGTGAATTCCCTTCGAATTTCTATCTTAAAGAGAATCCATAGTTAATTGTTCAATATGTTGGCAATTGAAGATAAATATATACATGTATGTATGTGTATATGTATATCAAATGTCTTTGCCTGCAATCTGAGCAAACTTTGCTTATTGTTTGACTGAGTAAAGATAACTATTTTTGTTATGCCCTGAACCCAATGGAAATGTGCGGGTTTGCTCGCTGTGCGTGTGCATGTGTGTGTGTATAATAGTTGCCCCTGGACAGATTGCACTAGCAGCAGCAGCTGTTCGACTTGTGTTCCAGGTATCTCATAGTCGGACACTCCCTCTCCAGAGAGAGGACTTTTTCTTCCCACCCATATATAGTTTGTTTTTTTGTTGCTGCTCTCACTTTTCGCCTCACTTTGGCTCTTGTTACATAGTTGGATGTAAGCAAGAGTAAAGTTGCTGTCATCGGCAGCACATAAAAAACTTTAAGCAACAAAATCGCATAAACTGTTGTTAAGTGAAAGTGCGATAAATCAATTTGTAATTGGGGCAAGTTCTGCCAGCCGCCATGGCCTCGTCCTGTGTGTGTGTGTTAGTGTGTGTGTGTGTATTCCCCAGGATAACATAGACAGCGACGCGACTTAACCCAAGTATGTTATATGTGTAGTTATTGGCAAATACATATGTATGTGATGCTGTCGAGGACTTTGCTTGCCAGCCACATCCATGGACAATCGGATGAGTTCTTGGGCTGGTTGGTATGAGTGTTGTTATGGTGATAAAATTACATTTTGCAGCCTTTCATTTTTGCAGCCATTCTTTCTTCGTTTCTTGGCCAACAGCTTAAGCTTGTCTCTGCTGGACTTTGACACAAATCCCTACGAAAAACACATAAGAAAAACATCTTACACATATGTATGTACATACACACATATGTATGTATATTTGTATGTGTGCAGCAACATTTAGGATTAAGCATTTATTATATTTGCACACACAGAATTCTCAAGAGCTTGTTGTTTGCTTGATTTTATTTACAGCTGGATTTGCAATTACAAGACGAAGCCGGCGGCGACATCTCTAGTTTCATAACAAACGGCGAATGGGACTTGTTAGGTGAGATTCATGTGTGGAATATTCATTTCATTTCGATGCCATTAAATATTCTATTTAAAATATAAAAAAAAAATCACACACACACTGAACTAAAAGCTGAATTAAATAATGTTTGTAAAATGAAGTAAATCACATAATTAGCATAAATAATTTCCAAAATAATTTACTAATTAATGACTATCAATAATTCTCATTCTCTTTTCTGCATATGCTCATCTCATTTGCACCAACAAACAACAACAACAACAACAACTATAACAACAACAACTCTAACCACATCACAATTTAAAAACCAAAATCAATAAATTTAACCAAAAATTGATCAGGTGTGCCCGGTAAACGTAATGAAATCTACTATAATTGCTGCCCAGAACCTTATATTGACATAACATTCGCCATTTTGATACGACGCAAAACTTTATACTATTTTTTCAATTTGATCGTGCCGTGCGTATTGATCGCATCGATGGCACTGCTAGGGTTTACACTGCCACCAGATTCTGGTGAGAAGCTATCGCTTGGTAAGTGTCCGTCTAGAAAAACACAAAAACCAAATAAATACAACACCAAAAGAAAAAAAAAAAGCAACAACAACAGAAACAACCAACAACAAGTAGCCATCGCAACTCTGATATTTCCCCCAAAATAAATAGTAAATTTTAATACTATTAACTAGTCCATGTTCCAAAAGTGTTTCGTATATTTAAGTGTTGACAAGTTTGCTGTAGGATTTCTTACTTGCATGCTCTCTCTCTCTCTATCACTGTGTTTCTCTCTGTCTCTCTCTCTGTGTCTATCTCTGTCTCTCTCTAAATCAAATGAAACCAAACACACACGTATATATACATATATATTTATATATTTATTGTGAAACGGAAGCCCATTCGCTATAAGAGGCTGCCAGCAGTAGGACACAAGTTGACTGCCACACACACACACACAAACTCACACACACACACATTACGTATACGCCGCATAGAGCCTTGACTAACTATGCAAATGCAATGCAATCCAATGGCCGACGGCAATGGCAACAACTCTGCCAGCGAACAAACAAAGCGCACGAGTGTTGCAAGTGCAAAAAAAAACTAAATAGGAGAAAAAAAAAAAACAGCAGCCGTCACCATCATTTGTAATCAAAGTCAACGCAAGCAAAAGTGAAAAATATGGCACAACTGCTGGCCCACCTTTCAGCTGGGAGAATAGGACGCAAATGCAGGACGACAGCCGACGACAGACGGACGACAACGGACAGACGGACGGACGGCAAATGAGCACAGAGCCTTGAACCCTTGAACCTCACTCGACAGTGAGCCTTTCCCTAGTTAACCATGTCAAGCAACGCAACTCAAATACAAATATTTACAATCAACTCGCATATATATATACAAAACTATATATGTATGTACATATATATTTATATGCATGTATGCATATATATTTGTGGCACTGCTGCTGCCTAATGCATTCAGGCAACAAGAAGCACAGCCTCTGCCTTTGCCTTTTGTGCTGCGAGTTGATACATTTTCGCATCGTTCGCTATTGATAATAAAAGAAAAGGAACTAAAATAAAATAGAGTAAAGCTGCATTTTAGCCCTTTTAGACTTGATTTATGCATTCGATCTGTGTGGGCCAAGGCCATGATTGAGTAGCTCACGAACTCTGTTCACAAAGTAGCGCGAATTTGTTGCGTTTATTGTATTTTGCTGTTTATGAATATTTATCGATAGCAGCTGCACTTGATTGCTGCAACTATCGCTGCAAACAAAAGCTGACACCAGTCGATACTATCGTTGCTTTCGTCGATCACGCAGCTGCTTTGCTTGTAAGTCCAGCTGCAAAGCCCAGCCCTGGTTTCATTCATCGATACTATCGTTGCTTTCAACGATCGACTTAGCAGCTCTAATGCCTATGAATTCTCCTCTCTATTCGCCTTGTAGCTGTTTGTATTAAATGAATGTAACATAAATGAAAATAATAATAGAAATTTGATGAGCATCAAACTGTCTGCAATTTTGACATACACCTCTTTGTACAAAGCTAAGGCGACGCGTTTCGTATCCTTTCGTGGCTCTTTCGCCGGCACAGATACATACATATGACTATTATGATCTGTTGATCTATGGCCGCTCTGTTGCCAACGCGCGCGCCTCTCATCTTCCGGCAAACAGCTCTGACAACTGACAAGGCACACCCACGCACACATTAAGCTGAGAAAGTTATGCGAAAATGTGGCAAAATGCTTTGCAGCTCATATCCTGAGCATGTGCCTCACACACACACACACACGCACAGACACAGTGGAACAAAACTGACACAACGACAGACAGACATTGGCCGTGGCTATGACGATGTTGGCGTTGGCGATGGCTGTCGCTGGGGCTCATCACGTACTTTCAACATGCAGCATATGGTGCATGCCAAAATTTATACAATACAGCTATACGAAAATACTTATATAAGTATGCTAGATATAAATATATCGCGTTTATGAGCGAGAGCAGCAAAAGTTTTGCTTGCAGCTGCTAGAAAGCAAAACAACAACAACAACAAAATATAAGCAAAAGAGCAAAAAATTGCCATATTTTAAAAATTGTTCGTAGCAAACGAAGCCCCAGCCCCGCTGTGCCATGGCCATGCGTGTGTGTGTGTGTGTGTGAGAGTGTTCATGTGTGTGTATAGCAAAACGCATTAGGGCTGCCAGCCATGGCTCATGCATAATAGACAAGTTTGCGTAAAACCCTGTGGCTAATTTATGTTTGCCCGACACTTTTGGCGGCAGCCCCTCCGCCACGCCTCCAGCCCCATCGCCAGCTGACTTTTCACATAATTTATATAACCTCAAAAGAGCAAGAGCATAAAATATGCACAGGACACGCAAAAATAAATATAAAAATATATAAAAAAAAAAATATTACAAAATACAAAAAAAAAAAATGAAAAAAGGGAACAACAAAATCTTTGATAAGGCTAAGCACTCGAACTGACAAACGCCAGCTGGCCAAAAGAAAACCCCAAGCAAAACCATAAATAATGATAACTTCCATAAGGTGCCGCAGGACCAATGACAAATGTATATGTATGTGTGTGTGTGTATGCTGTCTGTGTGTGCGTGCTTTTAGTTATGTTTTTATTTCGTATTGAAAACTAGTCTTGTGACACTAGAAACGAAGCGAAATTGCGACGGACAACGGACGACGACGCTTGAGGTTCAGCGCAGAGAATACGGTAGTAGTTTTTTATTCACCAAGTGGGACAATTATATCATCTCTCTATATATACTATATATATAAACGCATCCTTGCATCAATGCAGCAGCAGCAACAGCAGCAGCAGCAACGCTGGAGCAGCAGGCAGGATCAGCTGGAAACACGACTCTTAGCGAATCAGTTTTAAACTAATGAATATAATATGAATAATAATGCTATCTCTCTCTATCTATCACAACTGCTCTCTCTCTCTATGTCTCCCTCTCCTTCTCTCTATCTTTTCTTTTTCTCTGCGTATATAACTCTCTATCTTACACACACACACACACACACACATGCCGATGCCTACACACCTTTGTGCAATAATTTTGTGCTGCATACTTGCAGGAGTTACTATTTTACTATCGCTCACAGTCTTCCTGAATATGGTAGCGGAAACGATGCCAGCTACATCCGATGCTGTGCCGCTGTTGGGTAAGTAGAGGCAGCGCCATCTGGCGTTCGCCGGCTGGGCTAATTGCCCGGCGCTCGCTCGCTATCTCTCTCTCTCTCTCTCTATAAAAATATCGCTGTCTATCTCGCTGACTTCAAATTAACGCACACTCAACTCTGCTCAACAAGAACAACAACAACAGCAATATTTACTACTATTTACTACTACTACTACTATTTTAATAATAACAGCAGCTACAACAACAACTACAACAACAACAGCTAATCGGCCAAGATTTTTACCTTCCGCACAGCCTCGATAATTGCCGCCAAGCTAATTTGCTGCATTTTTTGTTGTTTTTTTTTTTTCATATTTCGTTTTGTTAACTCGTTTTTATTAGTTTTCGTCAAGTTAAATGCTGGAATAACGAGCGAGTTGGGATGATATCTAAGTGAACTTATCTAATACCTAAAGGATCTATATTTTTTAGCAGTGTATACCAAGACTATCAGCTGAATATAATCATAAATATTTTGACCAGAGTAGAGCTATGCTAGAAGAAATTACAATTATATGAAACCCAATTTAAATATTCAACATTTTTTAAGCCCTATTCATATTATTATAATCCGCTTAGCTCTGCTTTCAAATGCTTTCAATATATGCTCATATTCTACCCAACTTGCCTTAACAACTTTTCTGGTTCCGCCTCCATAACAGCTATATTTATCCCAACTTCAGATCAAAAAAGAGCGGAATATTAGCATGAAATTCCATAAGCCTTAGCCAAGCTCTCAAAATGTTAAGCTAATCACGAAATTCACGTTGACAGCGAACGGAAATTTCTAATTTATAGCATAATACTAGGAAATTTCTTAAAAATATTGTACATATATATAAAATAAATTATACAATGACAAAGCCTATGGCATACGTCAACAGCTCAATATTATCGATTGCATAGACAGCTGCTGAAATATAGCTATCAGAAGTCGAATCACTCCTGCTGGGTCACGCCCCACACGGCGGGCGGCGCAGCTGCTTTGGCTAGATTAACTTCGCTCTACAGTCACGTAGGTATATATATGTATGCATGTATGCATGCATGCATGTGAACATGCCTTGTAGGCATGTCCCCGACTGTTGCTGCTGCAGATCAAATGCGAGCCGTTTCAATTAACGCGCATTGAAGGAAATCAAAGTCAACTAGAATATTAAATAACAGTGAACGTAAACTTCTCGCCTCGTATTCAGTTGTGGGGCACGAGTGAAATCAAAGCTCGTCGAAGATTTGCAGCGCTATTAGTTTCAAATTTTGAAGTTTCTCCAGATGGCCATAAACACGTACAACAATAGAGATTGCCTCGTTTCGAGTTTCGTTTCATGCAACACGCGCACTTTCGCGCCAGGGGAACGAACTTTTGCCCAGTGGGAGCGAAAGAGGGCGAGGGTGGGAGGGAGGTGGAAATGTTTTAGTGTCTAGTTTCTGGTATTTGTTTGCACTTTGTTTTCTTAATATTTCATTTAATGGCCAGCAAATGGAGCTGATGGCTGATGGCAATGGCAATGGCAATGGCAATGGGGACCCTCGCGCGCCTTTGGGGGCCGCTGTGATTTAAACGTTTTCATAAACTTTGCACAATTTATGCGCACACATCTCAAGTTTGGCTACGTGCATTGAACTATATACATATATATATGTATATCGAGTATATATATATATGTGTGTATATAGTAGCCCCTGCAATGCATTCAAAAAGTATTCAGCAAAGTGTTATAAATATTAAGTTAGATTTAGAGCTAACAACTGCAGCACGTAACACACAGCACAGTGCCCATTAAAAGTAACGGAACAATAACAATTCATGTCATTCGCATACAACAATGAACTAGCTCAAGTTAGTCGAAATCCCAATTGGAAATTGTAGCGATATACAAGCCGTTGCTAGTCGCTATGCAAATAATATGAGATCATATTAACAATTAGTTAGAATCACATCAATTAGTATTGTAACTATCGCATTTGTATGTAGCGTGTGTGTGTATGAGTGTGTGTGTGTGTGTGTGTGTGTGTGATTAGTAATGAATCTATGCATAACTAGCAAATTATATTGATATAGAACATTTTAGTTCATTAGCAACTAGTTCCGTTCCCACTCACGTTCAGAACTGCGAAGGCAACAACAAAAACAAACTTTTTACTAGTTCCAGTTGGAGTCTTAAATGGAAAACCTTTAAATGCATTCATTGCAAGTTGTAGAATCTCAAACGAAGATTAATGTAGAGTTCCTGATGGATGCATGCAGAATCAATCAAATATCATTTGTAAAATTTCAGTTTTACTTAAGAGCTTCTTGAATTATTTCTAGATGTTATATCGAGATAACAAATTTCAAGACTCTGTTTAGCTCTGCTGAAATTGAAATTGAAATTATTATTTCGAGCCAGTGCCATTGCATAACTGAGATCTATTCAAATGAGCAATCATTCAGCATAACTAAAACTAACCAAAGAGTTTTCAAGAACAACTCTAGTTTATTTCATGATCTTTCTAACGTAACTCAGGAACTCAGGACTATATATATACCCTTGGAATGATATATGATATATAAGATGAAATAAAATATGATACATGCATTGTGATACAAGCTGTATGTGTGTGTATGTGTGAATGTTATAATATATGTATATTAGGATCATTCAAATGTTTCTGTATGTATGTATGTATACAAATGTATCTATATAGGTATACATATGCATATGCAAATGTACCTTTGTATATAGGCATACATGCATATACATACATACATATCTGTATGTAGGTGTGAAACCATAAACAATATATTATCCAGTATGTTGACACCATTTAGTGACTTAGAGCATTAGCAATTAGGTAGACTCACATTAGCATAACATTAGTTTAGATGCGTATTACTATAACTAACCAAATCCATATTAAAAAATCAAGTCCATAACAGTGTCATGCATAGTAAAAAAAAAAACCAAAAAAGTTGTTTGTAATGATAGAGTAAACATAAACATAAATAAATAGAGTAAACATAAATTGGTTTACCATAGTACTAATGGCAATTACCTATTGAAGCATGACAATACCAAGAGCAAAAACCACAACAACAACAACAACAAGAACAACATTCAAATACCATATACTAATAATCCATAAAAAATAACAAATGTTCAGTGTTCTAATTCTATCATTTGTAGCCTAAATAGTAAGGTAAGTCTCATGTGTAAGTCATACAAACGTTTATTATTGACTGAATACGTTCCATACTTCGAATTACTAGCAAAACGTTCAATTTTCCATTTGGATTCACATTTCAGATATACAACAACAACAAATTTTATAATAATAATTGAAAGTACTGAAATCTTCCAAACCCATTCATCCATTTACGCATGCTAGGCCCCCTCCTTCCGCATATACATATGTATAACCAATAATTTCTGTATATTTAGTTCACCCAAGACATATTTAGTACAACAAGAGCCAATGCACAGATTTACAATAAGTATGTATGCATTACACACACACACACACACACACACACATACATAGACACATAGACACATAGACAGTTGCAGACATTCATTCAAGTTCATTATCAATCCACACACACACACACACGCACACTTATCAACAGTAGTTGTGTATTTTTGAATATCGTATTTTGAATATCGTATTTTATATATACCTATATATTTTATCGTATCGAGGACTGGTATGGCAATCAAACTCACAGCATGCACTCTGGACCTTTCGATAGACAAACTCCTGTAATTTGGTAAATCGAAAAAAAGAAATTTACAAAAAAAAAATAATAATAATAAGAAAATTGAAAAAGAAAAACGAAAATAAAAAAAAGGAAATTCAAGGCCAGATTCATGAGTCGGGAGTCGAGAGAGTCGTATATTGGGCAACTCTGCCAAGTTTTCTGCTTCCTTAAGTATCACTCTCTACATATGTATATATGTATTTGTCTACATGCATACATATATATAAGTCTTTCATATATATGTATGTATAATTGTATATTTTCGTTTTGGATTTGTGTTTTTTTTTTTTTTTCATTTTTTTTACAACTTGTGTAGCGCCTTGTTTTCTTTCGATTCTGTGATTTATATTTTGGATTCTATGCGTACAACGACAAGTGGCTCGCATTATCAATGCCGGTGTCAGATACATGTGTATGTATTTTAGCCAAGGACCACTACCACATAATGTAAAAGAAAAAACGTTCTTGTTGGCATGCAAGAACACAAATGCCTACAAAATTGTTGACATGCCCACGCCCCCGCCCCTCGACCACGTTCCCCTACACGAACACAAACATGCGACACACACACACACACACACACACACACACCTACACACACGCACACACTCACACGTTCATAACTGAAACAATTGATGAATACTATCTCATATAATGTTGTATTGCACATTCATAGAGAAGCCATGAATATGAATACAAATGTGAATGAAAAATTGAATATGAATATGAATATGAATATGAGTGTGTGGCAAATATTGCTGAATTCAATGGGAATCGTGCAACGGGGGCGAAATGGCAATGTCAACCTCAGCCCTCAAACTGAAAGTGAAACTGAAAGTGAAAACTCAAACTGAATGTCAACACGGAGGCCGCTAACAATTGGAGCTAGAGCTAAGCGCCAGCTGGTCACACTTGCCCCCACTCACACCCACACACAAGCACACAAACACACACACACATACACACACCAAATGGGAACAGCTATGTAAATATCTATTGAAACAATTTTAATGTCCGTGATAAATTTATATAAACTAAAAAACAAGCTAAATTCTGGTCTCTCTGTCTCTTGCTTTACTTCACTCTGTCTCTCTCTCTCTCTCACACACACACACTTGCTCTACCCCGCTCTTTCTCTCTAAGTCTGTCTCGCTCTTTGCCTCTCTCTCTCTCTCTCTCTCTCTCTCTCTCTCTCTGTCTCGCTGTCTCACGCTCTGTTCTGTTGTTATATATATGTATATGTACCCATATGTATATGTATGTATATATCGAATGTATGCTATGTCTGTCTTTAACTGTTTAAAAATGAAACACACAAACACACACACACACACGCAAATTCTGTATAGCAAAATTAAATGTTAAAAAAAAAAACATAATAATATTAATAATGTTTTGCATGTGAAATTGCAAATGTTGAAACACTCAGAGGGTAAACGACAGAGTGTAACGGATTCAATGGATCAGTTAATATGTTGTATATATGTTTAGGCCTATCTCTATCTCTATCTATATCTTATGTATATATGTTCTCTCACGGGCTTTAACATACGTTTCTCTGTACATATTTGTAATATTCATTTGTTTATGTTTTTTCTTCACTTATTTTGAGAACAAATTGGTTTTAGTTTCGTGAAGTAGTGTGGTAGCAACTCTCTCTCTCTATCTCTTTCTCTATCTATCTTCATCTATCTCGCTCTCTCTCTCTGTCTCTGTCTCTTAAGTACCCCTCAGAGCCTCATACAAAATTATTGCTAACTGCATATCACATGTTTTGATATATGTTTAATGGTGTTTCGCTTCTTTAACATGTACAATCACACACAAACACACACACACACACACACATACATACACATACATCATTGTATCATACACAATTAGCTGAAGAAGAAGAAGAAGCAACCACACTTGTAAATAAAACAATGCGAAATATATATATATATATAAATCTCCTTTTTTTTGTTTGGATACCCTTAGCATACATACATACATACATGCATATGCATATGTATGTATACATATATATATATGTATGTATATACATGCACATATGTCGTAGAATATCGTACGTATGTCTGGCTTGTATGCAAACATTAAGGTAATTCCATGAATATCAAATATATATGCATATGCGACTAGTTGCTGTATATAATAATAATAAAAAAAAAAACAAAAAACAAAAACAAAAACAAATGCAAAAAAAAACTTACATTCATTCATATGCTTAAAGTGCCTTATATAACCTACAACTATGTAGTGCAGTGTATGGGACCCAAAACAAAAACAAAATAAAATACTTTAACTCAAATCCAACAAATATTATGTAAAGCTAAATGCAAAAATCTTAACTCATATGCACAGTGAAAAGGCAAACCAGCTAACAAAAACAAATAATTAATTTTTATTTACTTTTCATTTATTTTTATCACCCATACATTCACATATGTAAATAGTCAATGAAGAAAAAAGAATGAAAACATTTTATAATTATATATATATTTTTTTCTATATAATTTTCGCTCCTCACTGTGCATAACCTAAATAAATGCAATTAAATAGTTTAAGCTAAATATGTATATGTAAATCCAAAGCAGTAAAAAAAAAACAAAAAAAAAACAACGCACTGATCCAGACAATAACTCAACTAACCAGTTCCATTTCCTACTTAATTGCCATATTAAAATACTAAAAAAAAAAAATACTAACAACCACAAGTACTACTACAACAACATTAACCGTAGCCATACAGTATACCAAAAAACAAAACCCAATCAATACCAATACCAAATCAAAACACCTTTACCCGAGACCCAAAGTCTTTCATCAATTTACAGCTCAACAATAATGAGGAACCGAATCAGATCTCGATTTTTAACTCAAAATGATGATTGCGGATAATTGGTTGTGCACAAAAAGCGACAGCAAACTAAAAAAAAAAAATAAATATATATACTGAGAAAGTAGGGTTATGCCAAAAAATACCAATAACAATAAAAAAATAGAGTACAAAAATACCACACATACTGAAAGTTGAGACGCACACAAACGCGCGGTTCGGTTCAATAGAGTTACAGTTCCTTTGGTGCAAGGGAACCGAACCACTCCTTGAATCGGGCCACAAGTTTGCAGCGGCAAATCTATTGAATATATTAAGTAAAAAACGAGGAGGGGGGGACGAAAAAGGAAAGGAACTACATCAGTTAGCGTCTAAGTAGCACAGAGCTTTTTTTCAACTTTACCTAAACTTATCTCTTTAACTACTCTATGCCATATATGTATATGTATATGTCGGCGAGGCGTACACCTGTAAAATAACTCGAACTCTCTCTCTCTCTCTCTCTCACTGAAAACTAAACTAAACTAAATTTAAAAAAAGATATTGTTTTTTAAATATATACATACATAAATGTTAATATATATACTACCACTACTACTACTACTACTTACTACTACTAACTAACTTTTTTTAAATACTGCTTTGAACTTTTTCTCTAACTCTTACTTCCACTTGCCACAAAGTTAAGTTTTAGTAAGCATTACGAAAGTACTGAACAACAACAACAACAACAACTACTACTAATACTACCAGCGAAAGATCTATCGAAATTACTATAGTCTGTTGTTGTTGTTGTTGCCTTTCGATAAACCACAATAAATACGATGCGAACTTTTTTTTTGTATATATATACATAGATCAGCGCGAGCTATCGAAATGTGTACAAAGTCTATTTTTTTTACTCAAATACAAAGAAACCAACAAACACAACAACAACAACAATAACAAACAACAACACACACACACGCACCCACACATACAAAGCAAACGAAATGAATTGCTTAACGATAACGATAAACGATAAACCGACATCAAAACGCTCAACATCAGGGCAATGGGGCAATAATAGGTGTGCTCATCAAACTTATCGAAGAGCTAAATGAAGAAAACCAACAAACGAAATCTAACCAAAATCCAAAAATCTATCTAGCTTAGAATGAGCGTGAAGCGAATTCGCACCAACAATCGATATAATTACCACAATGTTTGTGTAATTTTTGTGTCCTTCTAGGAACTTATTTCAATTGCATTATGTTTATGGTGGCCTCATCAGTTGTGTCAACCATACTTATCCTCAATTATCATCATAGAAATCCAGATACGCATGAAATGAGTGAATGGGTAATATTTATATTTAAACTAAACTAAACTTAACTAACTTACTTGCTAACTACTTACTACTTACTTACTTATTTATAAAAACCAAAAAAAAAAAAAAAAGAAATGAAAACCAAACAAAACAAAAACGAAAATCAAGCTATTTCTCCTACCTACCTACTTCTTTTTTTGCTTTTATGTTCTCTTCTTCTCAACATTTACATAAATTCATTTCTTATTCTTTACTTAACTCTGCGAATTCCAATACGTTTTCAATTTGCCTTTGTTTCAATATGAATATCATTTCAATGAAACAATCAAAACATCCAAAATATACTCCACAGCTCACACATACACGCCCCAACACCCACAGACAGTCCAAACACCGCCCCACTGTATATACATACTTATTATGCCCACATACACGCCCAATGTCCTACCAAACATCACTCTCTCAACTCTTACGACATTGAAAAATACAAAAAAAATACAAAAAATACAAAATAAAAATGCAAAATACACTTGCATACATATTTACTCACAATTCATATGCATAAAATACTAGCTCTTCTTATACTTTACACTATGCTGCATGCAAAATATATTTGCAACTCATGCAAAACCGAAAGCAAACATATTTTTTCAATAAACCTATCGATTTACATATACGAAATGGAATTTAAAAACAAAAAATACTGAATAATATTCTTATAATAATTATACATGAGCTTGAATTTCTCATTAAATAATAATAATATAATAATTACATGCCTCTAAATATGTAATGTATAAAATTTAACCGATTTCTATGTGTCAGAATCAATTAAATATCCAACAAAATTTTAACAAACAATTTTTTTTTAATTTAAAAAAAATTTAAAAAAAAAATAATAAAATAAAATAAAAGCTTAAATTTTTCATTTAAACAAAAGAACTTTTTTATACTCATTCACACAAGCGAAATGAGCATATTGGTGTAGCTTAATATCCGTTTTACTGTCTGTCTGTCTGTCCATCTGTCTGTCCTTATAAATGCAAAGAATTTCCAGGCTACTCAAGCCGAAGATTTGAAATTCGAACACACATACTCGTGTATTCCTTTGCAAGATAGTGTGAAAGATTTTCTCATTTGTCCACTAAAGGCGTGGCGATTCGACAGATATCTCTTCAGATATGGGCGTGGCAAATCGTGCATCTTATACAGTTATAAAGCTAGAATTTTAAAATTGAACGACTAAATTTCTGTTAGTCATCCTCATATATAATAAATTGAAGGCGTGGCAAATTGAAAAAATTGATCTGTCACTATTTGGACAGTGAATGAGTATTCTGTGGTCGGTAATGCCCGACTGCAACGTTCTTAATTGTTTTTAGTTATAATTTGAAAGTAAATTTTCTCAAAAAATATTTACAAAAAATATATATAAAATAACAAAAAGTTAATCTAAAATTATTTTATAAATATATACATCTTTATAAAAATTGAATTTATTTTCTATGTGGCATATTTAATATTTATTCTAAAAGTTTTCTTTATGAAACTTAAAAAAAAAATGTCAAAACTTTAAATAAATAATATATATGTATTTTTTTTTTTTCAAATCAAAGAACCGTTTTGACGACATATTTTGTTTAAAAAAAAGTCTTACTTAAGACTTTCTTAACTAAAAAATTCAAATGCACAAGTCAAAATTTTTATATCTGTTTGAAAACAATTTAAATTGACAGACTTTAAAAAAAAATTAAGCTAATTTTATTCACTAAAGCAAAAAAAATAACTAAATTAGTTTCAAGTAAAAAAAAAAAATCAAATTTTAACCTAAAACCTTAAATGTTGCATAAATTCATAATCGATGTTTTCCTTTATATCGTTTTTAATCTTTTTTTCCAAGTCCACATATTTATATATGTCTATATACATACGTATATATATATATATGTAAGCCAATTGTTTTTGTTTTGATTCAATGTTCTGCTGAGAGCTACTGTTTCCCCCTCTCTCTCTCTCTCTCTTTCTATCACTCTCTCTCTCTCTCTCTCTCTCTCTCTCTCTCTCTCTATCTCTCTCTGTTAAACTTTATATTAATTGCATATTTACATATTCGAGAACCAAAGCACAAATAATCACACCGAATTTTTATTTCTCTAACAAATACTCTGGCCAACTACAACTACAACAACAACTACAACAACTACTACTACTACTACAACAACAATAACAACTACAACTACGTTAAACTCTGGCAACTCGCAACGCAAACAAAAATAAACTCTACTCAACAACTCAAATGCCTCTTCAACTGTTTCTTTTTCTCCTCTGTAACTAACTAACTAACAAACTAACTAACTATATAACTAACTATCTTCGCAAAACTGACCAAAAATACAAACAACAAAAAATATTTATAAAAAATAAATAAAAATGTCTCTATATATATTTATATATGAACTACTTCAAATGTGACCAAAAACATTCGGTTTTTATGGTCTCTATAACGCGTGTGCTGTTGCTATCCTATGTCAACACACTTTGAACAACACTCTTAACAACAACAACAACAATAATAATATAAACAACAACAACAAAAACAATTCAATAACCAAAATTCATCTAAACTAAATACAACTAATAAATAAAAATCGAACTAAAAAACATTTTTTTAACGCTATAAACTAAAAACTTTAAATGTAAACGATTTAAACTCTCATATATACTACATATATATATATGTAAACTGTCTACATCCATCTATATATTATGAATTTTGTGTCACGCTAAAATTTCTTATACAACAAAAATATCACTTCATTTGACTTAAAATCAAATTCAATGATATAATAAACTTAAAAAAAAAAACTGCTTAAAAAAACAATACAAAACAAAAACCAATATACTCATTTCACTTTCGTTAATGAGTATACATACAAAAAAAAATAAATAAATTTAACAACCAACAAAAAATATATATACTATTTATACCGAAAAAAAAAAACCAAAAATATACTTATTGCTATTATTTTTAACCGCATTACCCAACAAACACCCCGTCTCTCTGTCGAACTCGCACACACAGATAAGAGTAATATTCCTTTATTGGTTACCTTGCATATTGCGCATGCAAAGACCCGGACAGGTTGGCTACGAATGCCCGCCGCCGCCGTCGTCGTCGGGCTCCTCGACAGCTGGTGACAAAAAGCAACAGATCCAAAACGTTGAGCTCAAGGAAAGGTAACCGAAACACATACCGCCAATTCTCTCACTCACACTCTAACTAGAACCAACTGTCCGACTACTAAGTACTAGCCGATCGGCCATCGATATGATAGATATACTCTGCTAACCACATGTTATTCAGTTCACTGATCTATTTACCCACCATTCTCTATTGTGTATGCTGTGCCATCCTCATCCACACACCCAACAGATCCTCGAAATCGCTGCTCGCCAACGTACTCGACATTGATGACGACTTTCGTTGCAATCATCGCTGCACTAGCGCCACGTTACCCCATCAGCCCACGTACTACAGGACAATGTTCAGGTAAGGTCAGAGAGTTAACTTTTAACACAATGACATATGCATCATTTACGGTCAGTTGGTGTACTTCCTGAGTATAAATATTGCTTCAAGTTGAATACAATTTGTTAAATCATTTATTGGGATAAAATGCCATTAAAGGAATATCCCCATTAAGATTGTAGGAATATACCCATTGTAAACGCTAAAATCTTAGGTCTTTGACTTGCCATATGAAATGATTTAATTTTTTTTAATTTCATATAAAAAAAAACAAATAAATAAAAAAAATAAAAAAATGGAAAAACAATTCCATTGAAGGAATACCCCCATTCAGATAAGGATAAATTGAAGGAATATCTTAATAAATAAAGCGCTTAAATCATCTCACTTGTTTCACTTGAAATATTATATTTTTTGAATTATTTAAAAAATATTAAGAAAATATTTTAAAAATTTGATTGAAGAAATATCCCCATAAGTTAAGTATAAATTGATGGAATATCCCTATTGACAGCGCTCAAATCAGCCCAAGTCCTTGACTTGCAGTAAATGATTCAATTTATTATAAATGAATTACTCAATTTATTATAAGTAATTTTAATTTTACATTGAAGGAATATCCCTATTAATACCACTAAATTCATATCTAGTTTTTGACTGGCCGCAAACCAATAAATGTAATAATGCTCTCTAAGACCTATAGAAGAAATTCTTTAGCAAATTATCTTTTGTGCGAGCTATGGCATAAATCGATATTTATCGATATAGTATATAGTACAAAATATATACATTCCCAGCTAAAAACGAGAGGAACTGTGAGCCAAGGAAAGTAAGACTCATTCAAGTTGACAATATATACTTATTTCAAGTAATATCTATAATTATTGATCGATGTCAATTGATATCGATATCGATGAT